CACTTCTCATTTAGATTCTTGATCTTTTGTATCTCACTGTATCTCACATTAAAAAACAGTAGGTTTAAAGGTGAAAATTCAGTTGCTTAAGTTCGCTGTTTCGCCACGTATTACAAAAAAAAATTTTTTTATATGGCGTGACGATTTTTACTAATAAAAATATTTTAAAAATTATAATTGATTGTATAAATAAATGATCGTCGCCAATCTAATTTTAGCCAATCAAAACGAACTTCTTCAATGCTTTCTATATTTAAATAGTATATTGAATACTCTGATAGAACGTCACTTTTTTTCTAGTTAATAATATTAAAATATGAAAAATAATTACATTTAACCCAGTGAAATTAGCAATTGCCTTAAAATATTGTCTAATTAATCAGCCTTTAAATGAGTCTAAACTTCTTGTTATATACGCTATGTGGTATTGCAGTTTTTGTTAACACGATTTTGACGTCACATGACAATATTGATACGTATCGATATATTCCGAAATTTGCGCTAAACTTAATTTGCCAAATAAACTGCAGATAGTCTTTAATTTTAGGATGAGTCTAGAGAAAAAAAATTTTACCAAAATTTTGCAAAGAAAATTTTTTGTCAGGGCGCAGGTGTTTTAAACAGTTTTATATTTATATGTAACTTAACTTTAATTGAATTAACTATTGAATCACCAAACCTGATTTTCAGGTCAAGATCGGCATAATTTCTGGGTAATTTCCTTTTTCGGGGGGGGACGTTAAAAACAGGTGCGTTAGAACTCCCTTTTTCGGATAAGACAAACGAGGATAACGATACGCGAAAAAATATAAACTCAAATCAAAACAAAACAATCTACAATAATCTTAGAAGTGTTATTTTCATCGTGACATACCATACCTAATACAGTAAATACAGAAAACTGGCAATATCATAATGTCCAAAACATTTTCCAAAGACCTAGTAGAAGATTTCAAAAGCCTATATGAATCTAAAGAAAATTATGACACGATTATTACCGTTGGTGAAGAACCAAATATCGAACAAGTTTATGCCCACTCTATAATTCTTTGCACTAGATCTTCTTATTTTCGTAGTGCTTTATCTAGTAAATGGGCTGAAAGAAAGGAAGGTTATTTGATTTTATCAAAACCAAATATAAGCGCATTAACACTTAAAATTATTCTTAAGTAAGTAATATAAAATGTATATAATAGAATAATTTTTTTATAACAACTATTTAAAATCATATTAAAATTTTATACCAATTTTAATACTAAAATTGTATATATAGGTTTTTGTATTGTGGAGTAGTAGATTTGGAAAATCAAGAAATTGAAACAATCTTAGAACTTCTGATTGCTGCAGACGAACTTTTAATTCAAAGGCTCATCGATTTTATTCAAGAATTTTTAATCAAAAATAGTTGTAAATTTTTACAATCAAGACTCGTCAAAATGTTAAATTTCATTACTCATAATAAGCAATTTAATGAACTTAAAGACGCTTATTTGGAAACTATTTGCGAAAATCCAAAATTACTATTTGACTCCGAGGAGTTCCTTTTATTAGAGGAAGAAGCGCTAAAATTAATTCTCGAATGCGATAATCTTGACATGAAAGAAAGTGTTATTTGGAAACAAATCATTAAATGGGGAATGGCACAATGTACAGCAATTGAAAATAACATGATGTGTGAAGACACCAAGAATGAAAACGCTAATATATTAGAAGAGACATTACGCGAATTGATTAAGCTTGTTAGATTTCATCAAATAGATCGAAAGGAGTTCGTACCTGAAGTATGGACATATAAACATCTTCTGCCGGATCATTTAATTGAAGATATAATACGTTGTTATTTGGATTCTGACGCAAGACCAATGCATCACGCATTTTTAATTAGATGGGGTAACTTTAAAATTATATCTGAATTAATTGATAAGGAAATCGCGTTAATTTTGACAAAATGGATAGATAAGAAAACAGTTGATGAAGAGATATCCAAAGGATTCAAATATCATCTTAATCTAATTTTTAAGAGTAGTGTGGATGGGCTTTCGTCTCAAAACTTTCATCGTAATTGCGATCACAAAGGGGCAACAATTGTAGTTGCCAAAATAAAAAATACAAACTTGCTCATCGGTGGTTACAATCCACTTGATTGGAGTGGAGCTGATGAATGGAAACAAACAACGGATAGTTTCTTATTCGTCTTAGATTGTAAAGACATCAAAGGAGGAGTAGTATCCCGTGTTAATAATAATCACAGTTGCTATGCAATCTATTGCGACAGCGATTGTGGTCCAAGTTTTGGAGAAGGTCCCGATTTTCATATTACAAATAATAGCTATACTTTGAAATATAAAGCAAAATCCTACCCTAAAATGGTAACCTCACATACACTTACGATCTCAGAATATGAAATCTTTCAAGTTGAATGCATCGAAAAGCTTTCTATTCAAGAAGGTTAATAATAGAATATTAGACAAATTTTTCATAACTATAGAGTACTACGTTGTTTTATAGAAAGATATAGTTTTGTAGATTAATTTAGATTAATCATTAAATAAATGATACATAACAAGATTAGCATAAAATGACTAGATTTTGTCTTGGCTCTTTATTTTCTCTTGTAATAAATAAATTTTTAAAATGAATAAATGAATGAATTACTGTACTTGATGTTGTAAAATTATTTAATATAGATCGTCATCTATGCAACGTAAAAATTTCCCTAATTACAGTATTATGATGTTATAATATTTAAACCAACTATATTGTGTATTACCTAATTCATTTATTATTAAAAAACAATGAATAATACATGTAATATGACAGAATTCCAAGTGTCTTTCAAGTGTCATGGAGGTTAATTACGACTGGGTTGGTAAAACGCGTATGGAAAATTAAATATATGACATCCTATAAAATTTTGGTGCAACAATAGGCGATTTTTTCAAAATGAACGTTTGTTTTGAATTTTTCTAATCGTGTTACGTTACGCAAAATTGTGACTTATTATTGGCTGATCGTGTCGGAAGATCATGTGACTGCGCCCTCGATTGTTGGTAACGCTGGGACTTTTCTTTACTTAATAGAGGTTGATTTAAATTTTCGTAAAGAAATTTCAAATCAAGTCAACATGTTTTAAAACCAAATTGCTACAGAATAAATGAGTTTTGCTAAAAGAAACCCCGAAAATTTACATATAAGTCATATTTAAATTTTCGAGTTTCCTTTTAGCGACACTCAAATGATTTGTTTACTTTTTCATAGCATCCTAGTATCGCTTGTAAAAAAAAGTAGCTCGCATCGTAATTAAAGGTCAGAATTATAAAAAAAAAAAAAAGTATAGGTAATGAATAAATTTCTTGTTATCCGGCAGGTATGGGTATATAATGATAAAGGAGCGATTGTGTTTTGATCCAACTCTTTCTTTAATACTTCAATATCACATAATAAACTACCAACTAACGAAGACATTTTAGAGCCTTTTAAATTCTTACGAGTGCAAAATACGGATAAACGCATAACAAAATGGTTACGAGCAGTTGACGGATATAGAGACATACTCAATTATGAGTTCGAAGACTTTCCTTGCAAATTTTTCATATGGTTAAAACAAATAGACAGAAAGGAATATAAAGTTAAAATATCCATACTTCTCCCACACGATATTTGAAAGAATCTCCAGTCATCAAACCGTGCAACGTATGGGACTCTTACCAATCCAGAAAGCGTTACGAAGATTATCTTGAAATTTATAATGGTATTGCCACGCAAGTTGATTTTTCATTTTTCATTACCCGCCGGCCCATTTTTTTCAACTTTCAAATTTTTTAACCCCAATTGTGTCAATTATTATATTTTGGCCATTTAGTTTTGTTCATAAATTACTCCGGTATCATCGATAGAACTAATAGAAAAAGATTCGACTTCCAACCCAATTTTTGATTCCATGTTATACAAAGCGAAAAATCAACTTTTGCGGCCTTAGACGTGAACATGAGTCTATTAATGTACTGTATATTAAAAAAAAAAGATCCGACCAACCGACCAGAAATTTTGAAATCCGTGTAATGCAAAACGAAAAATCGACTTTGTGTGACCCTATTCATATCTAATTATGAAATAATATAGTATTTGTTGATTTGATTTTTTTTTTTTTTAGATTCAAACTTAATGACGGCAGCAGAAATATTTACACTTAATAATGGGCTAGAACAACACTATTATTCGTAGAATCGAGTAATTCAACATCTACCCAACTCCAACGTGATCTAATTTGAGCAAGAAACCAACATTTAAATCCCGTATTCCAAGGTCATCAGCTCAACAATTACCTTTAAATCTATTACTAATCAAGCGGCACCATATTTTATACCTACCTTTCATAACTTCATAAATCATCCGAATTTGATAACAAGATGACAATACACTATCATTTCCACTATTATTTTTAATTGAATTTGCAATATGTAATTTATTTTCTATGTAATTTCCGAGCATATAAATTTTAAAACGAATTTAATTGAGTACTTTAAAAAAAATAAAATTTTGCGTATCACATGATTTTAATAATAAACAGCGGCAATAATATGGAATTTTTTCCGTCTGTGTATTCATAGTACCTCCAGATAATCTTATGTTATCAAATGTTACGGTTAATTCTGTATAGCACAATAAAAAAACTTATTATAAGAATTGTCAGTTCGGTTTATTATAAAGAGAGTTGGCAGTAAAATTTTATATAGGCGATAACGATTTAGTTTTTCCTCAAATTTATACTGTATAACTCAACATTCATTAATCATAAACGTTTATAATTAATCTTTTATAACTGATCATTTTTTACTTTATTAAGATGCAAATAATGCAAGTTCCTAACTGATTCACCCTGTTTCATCAACGCTAACTCTAAATCAAGCAAACCCTAATCATAAATCGGGCAATATTATTTGTCGAGAAAATGATTCTAACAAGTAATATCTAATAAAATAATTTAAATTGTAATTATTTTGAAGACAACTATCATTTAAATTGATCACAATGCATAAATAAAATGATTTAACATAAGAACTAAACTTCTATCTTCACATTTATTTTTTATTTGTATTAAGGTTTTTTTTCTTTGATCAACAATAATTTTTTGTAAAATCTCAAAGATTCAAATCTTCACATAAAACCTTAACGTACTATACTGTATTTAACATATTTTAATATTTCAGATATATTAATTTGCTAAAAAAAGAGTATTTATTAGAGATGGGCACGCGCGGGATTTTTTTAGATCCCGCGCGGGATTTTTAATATGATCCCAAAATAAAACTATCTG